CACCAACCTGCCCCGGGCCGATGTCTCTTTCTCCACCGACACGAAGATGATCGACGCGAGGACCCGGCGCCGCTCGTCCGAGGTCGAGCGAGATCTGAACTTGAGCCAAATGTCATCCGTAAGTCGCTAACGCAACATCCCGCATGACACTTGCAACATAATCACACCCGCCTCACGAGGAGTCCGTCTTCGACGGGCGGAGCGTGTCAAAACTGATAGAAAGTAAAGCTCACATCCGTCCGCAAACAGCAGGACAGGCTGCGATCAGCGGTGGAGCAATATTCCAAAGATCCACTACCGGTTGCACCAGAGATGCGAGCTTTTATTCATATCAGTAGCCATGCAAGTCATGGGAGTCCTTTCGTTGTACCATCAGCCTAACGCCTTCAGGTACTCAGGTACTCAGGAACGTCCCTCAACAACTTAGACCTTGCGTGCAATAAAACCCATTAGCAGATCATGGGGCAAAGTATCCCTGCTCCCCTCTCACTAGAAAATGTTCACCAGCTGCCCAGCAGCAGTCCGCGAAGGACATTGCCACCGCGCGGTACGGGAGGATCGTCGATCACCCAAAGCACTGTCAGCAGACGGCGGCAGCCCAACGGCCAACTGCCTTGTGAGACCTGGCTGGACTTCCCCCACTGTGTGGGGGAGGGGCAGCGCCTCCACAAGGCTCATTTTCAGGGCTTCCTTCCAAGCCAAGATTCTGTCTTCACACCGCCTTCACCAATCGCCCCGACAACGATCACAATCGCAAGCTTCCCTCCTCCTATCTCTGTCTACCCTGTCAGAGTCGTCGTCTTGACGATCCCGTCGATCATCTTGTCGACGATCACGGTTCGTGACCTGTAGCTTTGTCTGGTGGAGGTGTGTTTTTGTTTAACTAACCCTGGTTTTTTCTTAACCCTGGCAGTGATTGGTGGGTTGGTTGGTTGGTTGGTTGGTTGGTTGGTTGGTTGGTTGGTTGGTTGGTTGGTTGGTTGGCTGGCTGGCTGGCTGGCTGGCCGCATCCCCGGCATCACCAACATCACTTGGACCTGGGGTTGCTCTGATGGGGTGGCAGTTAGGAGTTGCTGGGGTCTGGTTTAAGTTAGGGGGGTTTTGGCTGGCTTAGACCTTCATGAGGGTGGGTCTTGGGGTGGTTTGGGGTTGAAGAAGGCGAAGCGAAGGGCTGACATCCAGGCTGCTGTTGGGCGGGTTTAGGGTTGACTTTGAGTGGGTTTGGGGTGGCTTGGAGCTGATTTGTGTTAGGTGCGCTGCTGGTTTAGCAGCGGCTTTAGAGTTGCTTTAGGGTGTGGTTAATAGAGTTCTGGTCTAGTTTTGGGTTGGCCCAAACCACCAAAACTAGACCAAAACGCTATTAACCACACCCTAAAGCAACTCTAAAGCCGCTGCAAAACCAGCAGCGCACCCACGCCAAACCCACTCAAAGTCAACCCTAAACCCGCCCAACAGCAGCCTGGATGTCAGCCCTTCGCTTCGCCTTGTCAGCCCTTCGCTTCGCCTACATCAACCCCAAACCACCCCAAGACCCACCCTGCTGAAGGTCTAAGCCAGCCAAAACCCCCCTAACTTAAACCAGACCCCAACAACTCCCAACTGCCACCCCATCAGAGCGAATAGGCAACCCCAGGTCCAAGTGATGTTGGTGATGCCAGGATGCAGCCAGCCAGCCAGCCAGCCAGCCAGCCACCCACCCAACCAACCAACCAACCAAGGGGGGGGCAGGGCTAGGAAAACAAAAAAAACATCTCTGCTTTGTCTCCCTCTCCCAGCGCCGTAGCCAGGCCTGCAGACGACGCCCTCTTCCGTGAGGCTCGGATGAGATCGTCATGACCGTGTTCAGCGAGCCCGCTGCTGCAGCTGTATCTCCTTCTTCTTGTCTTCGGAGTAGAATTCGGAGTAGCAGCAGGCGCTTCCTTGTCCTTTGTCAAACGGCTCAGCGCATTATGGAGCTTCACCACTCGCCTCTCTAGCCGCCGTGGGACGATATAGCCTCATCAAGCTGCCAGGACGCCTCTCTTTTCTTGTCTGGTCAACAGCGGGTTCCTCAGTGTCCCAGCGACTCTTGCGCTGCCTCTCCTGACGAGATTCACTTCCCGGCTAACGCCAGGCTTGGGCGACACATCAGGTTTCCCCTCCTTCGCTTCAACCTTTTCCTCTTTCTTCTCCGGCTTCGCAACCGTGGGCTGACAGCACCCTTCCCCTTCTCGGGTTTCACCATGCCTTTACCTAGCCAGTTCAGCTTCGGCTCAGTCCGTCAACTTCCGTTTGGGGGCAAGGACAGCTAACGCCCTTACCCGGCCCATCGCCACCCTTCCTACCAGACTTAAAGCTGGAGCAGAGCTAACGCCCTTGTGCCCTCCGGTCCTGACCCCTTCCCTTTGCCCTTCACATCCGGCTCCTGCCGCTTCTTCTGCTTAGAAGCAGCGTGGAGCTCTTCTTCATCCGCTGATTCTGGATCAACATCTCCACGCCGAAGAGCACCTCCTCATCCACGACGCTCCTAACTCTTTGTGGGGTCAAAGTAGAAGTCGTAGGTGGCTAGCACGTAGGAGGGTCCTATGGCTGATAACCTGTGATTTGGGCGCAAGCCTTGCGCTCAGGCAAGTGAATTTAAAATTAACAAGCCACAGGTAAGGCCCCTAACCAACCAACCAATCTCCAGTCCCAACGTACCAGCAAACCACAACAACAGGAAAGTAACAGACCAAGTAAACGGGAATTGGATACCCGCGGCCTGAGCTGACGATACCGCACGGGCGAACCCCACCAACCTGCCCCGGGCTGATTTCTTTTCTCCACCGACACGAAGATGATCGACGTGAGGACCCGGCGACGCTCATGCGAGGTCGCGACGGATCCGAACTTGAGCCAAATATCACCGGTAAGTCGCTAACATTCTGGATGACACTTGCAACACATGGCTAATCACATTCAGAATTGCCCGGATCGATGCATGGGCCACTTGAATCTCGCGAAAATGCGCCATGCGACACTGCTTCGACCGAGTTCCGGCTAGGGCCGGATTGCGGGACCACTCAAATGGTCCAAAGGATCCGTGCATGGGTGATGAGTCAGTGCAGGCGCGTTACATGGCGACTGATGTCCATCGCCCCACGTTTGAAAGGTTCCCTTTCAAAACTCGTGGCGTTTGTTCTTGATACCCCGTTTGCTCGTTTTGAGGGGTGCAACCTCTACCCGTATTGAGGATGGGCCTTTCAGACGGTCTGGTTCATCCATCTATGTAACTCACCAAGCAACTTGTAGATTCCAACGAAGTGTTGCAAGTATAAGACAACCACATGAAGCCCAGGCAATTTGCGGCACAGAGAGGGCTTCCAACTTGTTTGTCTGAAAACAGGGGCAACCCCTTGAACAACTTTCTCTCTGGTCTGGTTCCCTTTTGATTCCATGGGGTGACACCCCGAGAGATTCATGCAACATCCCTGCAACCTGAATTGAGGAAAGCAGCAACGAAAAAACCAAATTGTTTGGGCTTGCTGTCGGGACAAGGCCATCCCACGCTTCACGCAGCTTGGCAGCTAAGCCGAACTGAGCGGCGAACTGAGCGGCCCCAAAGATGCTGGATGGGACAAAAACGATACAGCCAGCACCACAAAAACCCTGAAATCCGGTAAGAGGTGCCCAAAATGCGACCAGATTGTTTGCATTGGCTCGGTGGTGCCCTTTTTGGGTGTCCTTGCAAGCGCCCATGTTGAGCTCTTGGGCTACTGGTCGCCAGCTTTACGCGCCCCAACCCGTGTCAGGTTGGCACCTGCACCCATCAGCCAACGGTTCTTTCCGGAGCGAAGCTCAGCACGGATGGCTAAGGAAATGAGACCGAACCTGACAATGGCTGATCTGTTCAAACCGATTCTCGGATTCTTTCTTGGATTCTCGGATTCTCAGGTTCTCGGGTTCTCGGGTTCCATTGTCAAGTGCGTTCTGGAGGAAATAGTGACCGAAACCCGGCGACAGTCAGGAGCACCATTTCCTTTTTTGGGGTGGGGGCGTGAAGGGAAATTCCCTCGGCCACTCACAAAAGTGGCCTGCAACATCTGAAAGTGTCATGCAGGACCCCAAAATTCCGGATGTTCAATTTTGAAACGAAATGAAACGAAAGACTTCTTTTCACTAGTTGCAGGCCGTTCAAGCCCCTCCAACATGTCTCAAACCCCGATTTCGGCCAAGTGGTTGTGCTGGCATATGCTGCAACTGCCAAAAGCTCCGCGGAAGTTGCCCGGAAGGACTTGAGCAATTGGTCGAAGCCCTGGATGGGTAAAAAGGGACTCGGGAAACTGCAGCCATTTAAAAAAAAAAAAAAACATGGGGATGGCAAGGCCCTTCTCATAGCCTATCTTTTAAGTTTGCCTTTGTCATTCGCTGGGCTTTGGTCACTTGTCGCAGAGCAACAGAAGCGCTCTGGGCAGTCGTTTGTTGCGGGGCGTAACACCCCCTATGATGCCGAGAAGAAGCAAACACAGGAGTGTCGGCTGCAGGCCAAGCTGCCGTAAAAAGAGCCACTTTATGTATACAGCTTGTCTTTTGGAGGCAGTGCAGTCGGAAAAGCAGCTGTGCGTGCGTCCCTTTTCTGGCATCAGTCAGAAATTAGCATGCACCTCAGCATGCCAATCGATCAAAGGCCGGAGTATGAAAAGCTCCAGGTTGGAACAAAGCTGCTGGTGCGACATCACGGCTCCATCTTTGTACAAAGACAAGAGGCGTGGATCACCAATCAGGACCTAAACCATCGTCTTGACTCAACCTAAAAAGCAGAAGAAGCGGAGGTGACTACATGGAATCCATACCGCAGGCTGCCCATTTGACAGGCTCGGGCCAACCAAAAACGCTGATCCAAAGGGCAAATGTATTGCTTCTGCGCACATAGCAGCCTACAGATGTATAGTTGATACTGTGGATGGACCAAATCCTGTACCAGCTGATAGGTGGTTTATCCCAGTATTGTAGGACTTCATTTATCCCAACTGATGTGAACTGGTTTTTGGCCTTCCACGGTACCACTCGGTCGCTCGAATACACATCTTAGTGCCACGCCATGTGTCGCCTGACCGGGGCAGCGAGTCCTCTAATTAAGCCACTAAGCGCTCGGCGACATGCGACTTGAAACACCAGACAAAGTGTCGAACCCAACCCGGCCGACATGATGGCAATTCTGAGATTGCCATCAATATGGAGATGGGTCTACCACTCTCCATGAACCAGTATCGCTGGGCAGCATTGCTGAAACAGGCAGCGGACGGATTTGCCCTACCTGACCCTACCTGAACGACAGATACCAAACCCGAAGGGGTCGTTCCGGCGCATGCAGGTGCGCCCTCACTTCTTGTTGTGCCTCTTCAGCGCCGGTAGCTCCCCTGCCTCAGTGGTGAGATATTCGTTCGTAGTTTTGGATTTGCTGGAATGATTGCTAGCCCAAATGACCAGCACTCGATCTAAAACTGGATGGGCTTCCTTCGGTTCCCGGCCTACGCCAAGGTCTTCGGAACTCGGAACAGCATTGAGGATGGCACCAGCCCTTGTTTCATGCTACGCTCGAGGCCAAATGAATCCAGTCCGACCAAGGCGAAGGCTGTGAGAGCAACGAGATGATGCGCCGGCCGCACAACATCCTGGCGAGGGTTCCGGCTTTCTTCGGGGAGAAGCTGGGGCCCAAGTGACGTCCTCAAAATTACTCAAATGGTGGTTGTAAGAGAAGCGGCCCCCGAAAGCAATTTTGAGAACCCCTGAACATGCTCACTCTAAGGGGGCCAGGAGGAACCGGGCCCAACAATTGTACCTTTCCACCGAATGCAGGACAGGGATCCGGCCTCCCAGTGGAACACACGAGTCATGTTGCCAATTGCCCCAAGTGCAATTTCCCGTAAATTCCCAAAGATGCCCAAACAATCCTGCCAGTGGCGATCGTCTACAGTATGCAGCTCTAAAACAACAAAATAGGTGTGTCTTTGTTTGAGGGCCTCTTTGGGAAAAAGGCCCCCCCCCCTGGTTCGAGCCACGGACGCGTCACCTAATGCTGGCCCGCATGGAGAAAGGCTGCTGAGCGCGGCTAGCGCACTGGAAGCGGAGCACGTGACCTTCACCTCGCGGTCATGAAGAGGAGGGAGAGCGTCACATCGACACGCAGCAAAGGGCTGCAGGCGGTACTGCAAGTGCAGCATGAGGCAGCATGCCGAATGCTGCAGCGATGAGCCAGTACTTTGCCTTCAATGGCTATCAACTGAGAAGGTGTCGGATTTCCTAGTCAGAGAGACACCTAAAATTTGAAGAGTTCCAGGCCCTGATCCGGTTGAAGCAGGAGAAAGATGGCCCAAAAAAAGTGACCATCGGCCGACGAGCACACGGTGGACTAAGTCTGAGTTTTCGGTGCAATTTCAAGATATCAAGCGTCAACGAAGACAATGTGCCTGAAGAACCTGCCGAAGAAAAGTGCTGAAAAATTAAGTCGCAGAGTCGTCGGTCGTCAAGGCCATTGCTGGCAGCCAGCCTGAGCCCAGCCCAGAAGCGGAAAGATGTGTACGTAGCGCTGGTGGTCGATTGGACGATCCGAGCAGTGACGCCTTGCAGACGCAGCTGACTATGTCCAGGTACTCTTCTTTGGTGGCTGGGAATCAAGTGAACAGCATAGAGTACGTGGACAACTACTACCACGCGCAGGAGTACGATAACTAGCGTGCCTATGGCTGGCCTGGATCACGTTGGCCTACGTCATGCTGCCTTGGTCCCAGATGACTATGGCGATGACTCGCAAGGCGGAGAAGCTTTTGGAGTGGAAGAATAATGAAATGGGTATGGCTCAAAATTAAAGAGCTGGGGTTCCGCGGGTTTTAGTCTTTCCTGGAGATTCATTCTCCGGCCTTTTGCTAGGCGTTTTAGTTTCCTGGTAGTTTTGGGCGTGCTGGGCGTTCTAAGTGGTTTCTAGGAGTTGTGCGCGACCCCCGAGTCCAAAAAGCATCTTTTTCTGATTTGCGGGCGTTTGCGGGGTTTTGCGGGCGTTTTGCGGGCGTTTTGCGGGCGTTTTGCGGGTAGTTCTGGGCGGGGAAACGTGAAACCGTACCAATTCTGAAATCTCACAAAAATATAGAAGCTTTAGTCGTTTTAGGCGACTTCACGAAAAAAAAATGGAGATTTACGAAAAGCAAGTCAAAGCCGAGAACTACCAGGAAATTCATGGAGAATGAATCTCCAGGTTGGTTCCATTTACCAAGGTGCCATTTTGGTACCACTGTTTTGAGCCACAGCCAAATGATGCTTTTGGAGTGCAAGAGCTTCAGCCAGCAGAGAACACGGAGGCTCCAGCCCTGGAGGCTCACCGCACTTGGGCACAAGCTCAAACCACTGGCGGCTGTGCGAAAAGAGCCAGGCTTCGTTACGGACACTTTGCCCGGGATTGCCCTGATCAGTCTCATCCCAGAGTGTGAAAAGGGAAAGGATGTCCATGCCATGGATTCAGATTGATTCTGAGATGCACCGTCATTAATGGCAAGGACGAGTTCACGAGTACGGAAACTCAGCAAATCAAGAACCCTACGCGGACCACTCATGGCGGCTCAGATCGCATTTTCCCCCGAAGTGCTCCCTGGTCCCTGAAAGTCGGGCACCATGAACATGGCTTCTGTCTGACAACGGTTCTTCTTGACAGCCGTGGACAGGAACAACTAATTGATGCACGGTCAACGGGCACTCTTCCATGTTTGCAGAATACACGTTTGTTTAGGGAATGTCATTCGGAACGCCTTTGAAACAGCAAAAACATCCAATTAATTTGTGGGTACTAACAACACAACTTCGTCAACCCCACCCCGGTCACAACCCAAAGGCTCAGACCGAGCCAACCCCAACTTTTAACCAAAAAAAGGTCTGGGTTTTTCCAATGTGCACTGACAATAGAGTATTGGCAATACCAAATATATTGGAATCCCCGTTGTCCCAACTCAAATTAACAACCCCGACCAAATAGATATTTTCACGGCTGGCATTTTTTAAATGGTCTCAAAGCAGGTCCAACATCAAGAACCCGTATGGCTTTCGCTATCTGGGAGAAACGCTCTAAAATCCGAGTCCAATTTAGGGACAAACCCAGGTCTATGAAACGAGCTAAGGAGTTCGGCAACCCCCAAACCCACCCTCCGCCCCCCCCCCCCGGCCAGGTTCGGCTGGTCAGCAGTCTCCTTGATCGTCTGCTCCCTGCCCTGGGTGAATTTTGGTGCAAGACGCCGAGTTCACCTTGGGGCTGGGGGGCAGGTGATTTAGTAAACAAAGCCATGGCTTTGGTCCCGTGGACGGGATCACCGGATTCGGAGTCTGGAATTCCCTGGTCCCCCCTGGCAAGATTTGGAGTTTCCTCCTGCCCTTGTTTTCCGACATTTCCCGTCCGTAGGGAGGAAGCAACCAAAAACGCCAAGTGCACCAGCCCGCCGTGGATATGGACACAATCGAAAAGGCGATTCGCACCAATGGAAACCTATGCCATTTACCGTTTTGCGAAGTGCCAAGGGCGCTTGTCCGTCAGTAGTCGCCCGGCCGCCCCAAAGGCAGTCTTGGGCGGTGCCTTCCCCGATCAACCGTGGCATTTCTTTGGTTCTCACAAACTTCATTTCCGCAAAACACACAAAACAGAAGGGATCTTTAACTCGTTGAACGTGCCCCTGAGAATTTCACTGCAAAACCGAAGGGTTCTGCCGGCGTAGAATCATGTGACCTGGAAGAGCCTCCCGAGGGAGGGCCTCCCGATTTGGTCTTGCATGTCTAATGTTGGTTCACGTTTTCTGTGTTCTTCATGATGTGTGGTTGTTGTGGGGGTACTTTGCTCCAATCAATCAATCAAGCTGCAATTGCTCAACTGCGCCAAGTGCAAAGGCAACTGCTGCGGCATTTGTGGGGCCCGCAAAGCAGGAGCGAGAAGCCAAACCTGTGTGATTCCCAAGTGAAGTGGTTTAGATCACCAGTGAGATGTTGAGGGCAGCCCAGTCTCCAAAATCAAGCAATAATTTTGGAGGGGTTCCAAAATGTAGGACTTGGTAAGGCTTAATAAGGCTTATTAAGACCCCGCTTCCTCTTTCTCCCCCTTCCCCTCCCTCCCCCTCCGTCCCCTCCTTCCCCTCCCTCCTCCCCCCCCTCCCCTCCCCCTACCACCCCTCTTACTTCTCAAAAAGAAACAATGCTTTGGTCTTTTCAAAGTGTGGCACTTTAACTAATTCTGGGGCATATGTTCTAGGATTCGATGCAATTGGCCAGCCAGTGCTCAATCCGTCAATCTGTGTCAAATGTGTCTTCATTGAGAAGGGGCTTAATAAGGATTAACTGCTTAATAAGGATTAACTGCTTAATAAGGCTTAATAAGGCTTAATAAGGCTTAATAAGGCTTAATAAGGCTTAATAAGGCTTAATAAGGCTTAATAAGGCTTAATTTGGATTTGAGCATATTTCCTCAAATCTGGGGAGGCCCTCTCTCGGGAGGCTCTTCAGGGACACATGATACACTCAGCCTCATGTGATACGCCAAAGTGGGATTCCCTTGCTCAGGACTACTTTACCACGTTGAATGGGATTCCTTTGCTCCTCACAGGAGTCGGCAACTGCATAATCTTAAACCCATTTTTCCCAAGAAAAAAATGGCCCAACAAATGCACAAGGACGCCTATGCAGCCGCCCCCCCTCCCTTTCTACAAACACCGGGCCCAAATCATCATAAATGACTTACTCCTGCACCCCACACCCTTATTCTACTTGCGCAGCCCCGGCACCTCGAAGTCTATGTCCAACAAACCAAAAAACCTGAACCCTCTAAACGTCCAACTTTGAACAACAAATCCTTCCAGCCCCAAGATCCATGGTGAATCCCATATCCTTTAAGGCTTCTTTCGGGTCCAGCACAAAAACGCACCGCCTGCAAACAACTCCTCGGGCCCCTGGGAGGTGCCGGCCCTAAACGCTGCCAGCGCCGGCTCGGTGGCGGTGACCTGAGCAAGTCGCCGAAGTCGCAGGGCTACGAACCGACTCCAACTGACAATATCATAGATTTGCCATATGTATATATATATAGCTATAGATTGGTATACCATAGATTGACCCCCAAAAACCAAATAAAAAGGACAAAACATGCCAACTCAAAGAGGGCACACTGAATTGAGATGGCGAATAATTATGCCCTGGTGCCTCAAGACAAAAAGAGGAAACCGTGGTCAGATGGGCATTCCGGTGGAACGCCTCCCTGGCATGACTTGCCGCTTGCCATTTGCCGGACGGCCTGGAAAAATCGAACAAAGTGCGTTTCTCAACTGGGGGGGTGGGACACAAAACCAAGTGGCTTCCTCGCGGTGCTCCTTTGAAGCAGATCCCCTTCCAGAAATAACATCCCAACTCCAACTCACCCCGAGGACCATCGGTCAATGGCCGCGCCTGAACTCCCCCACACATTCGGTGTTGGGATTTGTTACCCGCAAATTGTCATTTGTGGGGTGAATGCAGGTAAGCATTGACTAGAACACCTACATACCCAGGTTGAATGGCAATGGAGCAGGTCTTCTGATGCCCCGTTTAGCCGAGTCATCACGCGCCATCCTCAGGCCCGAGCATAAGTTCTGCGAATGACTCTGGAAATGAGTGCTTGCTCGATGGTCATCCTCTCCTCACGGCACAAAAGCAGTGTTTCATTGACTGGATTTATCTAAGACCCCAAACCAGATAGCTGTTCAGGGGTCCTAGCAGGGGTGGTGGTCCTTGACCCTTTGCAAAAACATGCTCTTTGCTTCTTGTGAGCGGGATAACAATCATTTGCGAAGAAAAAACAACATCTCGAACCAACACTCAGCCCAGGATTCGAGGAAGCATGAACCACAGGGCTAAGCTTTGTTTGCGAGAACATGCAGGAGTCATCCCTGTGTGATTTCGGGAGGGCAGTAGAACTAACAAAAAAGGCGAGGAGTCCACAATTCAAAGTCTGCAAATGGCCAATGGCAGAAGCTGAATTTCGCGACAGATGACAAAATGAGTCAAACTGCCTCGGAGTCTCGGTGTCTTTCAGGTAGAGCACCCGCTCTTAACACAAAATGGGCGGGGGCGCGTCTCAAGCTCAGGGCCTAAGAATACGGATTCCTTGCTTCCCTTTTCCCTCAACAACAGTTGAGGGTAAAGTCACAAACCCAAAAGAAAATACAAAATCAGGACACCCAGAAGATGGCCAGTTGGTGTCTTTGATTCGTTCCTTGACTGTTCTATGCATACAGGCAGTCGGATATTTCAACACTTTTCGTCCCGTCAACGATCTCGCGTTAAAAGTCTTTCCTGAAGGCCGGATGCTTGCCTGAACTGCAATAGTTTTGGGGCTAAAACCATGTGTAAGGGTATTTTGAGGGTAATATAATATGTATATGTATAATACATATATAATATCATATATATATATATATATATATTTGTCCATTTCCTTGCAGTGGACCAGGGCCATGTCGAGAGGATGGCAGTCCAAGACCGAGTTGTTTGCACCATGGTGTACTTCAAGAACACCAAACGTTTCGGCACTGCTGGCAGGGATTCGGGCTTGTTTGCGGCTCCCATGATCCACCCTAAGAGTATCTGTGTACTACTGCTATTAAACAAATCACACCTGAACCCGCCATGTCTTAAAGTCTTAAAGTCTTAAAGTCTTAGTGGGAAAATTGGTTCTCCCGTTCCCCTGGTCCCGTGGAATTGGGTTGTCCCATGCCCTCCCAGACCAATCATGTACTGGGCTGTTTCCAGATCTCTTGCTAACAGTTGGACTTTTAGTTTAGGGGAAGTACCACTAAACCCTAAAAACCCACCTAAGGGAATGGCTGGAAACCATCAACTATTGTCGTTGCTCATGTCTCACTTGATTCGCGCTGGCATGAGGAGTTTCTGTAGGTGAAGCAGGACATCTGAAGTCTGTGGGTGAATGCCGACAGTCTTTCCCTTTCCAGTTTCCTGCATGCTGCCATCCACTGGGGTTGCCAGCAGAACAGTTTGCTAGGCAGCGTATATGTACTTTGCGGTTCCATCGCAAAACGCCTAAAAGCATGCACATGGGTATGGCTGGGAATCAAGTTGGGTACTACCGCGCGCCTCCAAAACATCAGAAGGATTGGGAGGAGGGATCAAAAAGAAGCTCTCCTGGCTCTTGAGGTCCCCGATTTGATGCTCGCCCCTTTGAGTGCCATTTGACAAGAACCGTGGTGAACACTGCAAGCTGGCCGGGTCTCAATGATCCTATGGAGCGTGCAATGGCGCTCCTCCCGCCAGAACCTGAGAATCTACCTTCGTGTAGGGCCGGGGAGAGGGGGTCGTAACCACGACAAAAACGCGATTTTGTTACCATGACAAGGTGCAATGTTACCACGGCAGAAAAAAAGCGTTACAGCGACATGTTTCTTGCGGGCTTATCCCGACAAGCAGGGAAATAGAAAGGAATAAGAAGGCATGAGAAGGTCAATAAGAAGGAATAAGAAGGAATAAGAAGGTCAATAGAAAGGAATAAGAAGGAATAAGAAGGTCAATAGAAAGGAATAAGAAGGTCAGTAGAAAGGAATAAGAAAGAATAAGAAAGTGAATCTAAAGGAATAAGAAGGAATAAGAAGGTCAATAGAAAGGAATGAGAAGGAATAAGAAGGTGATTAGAAAGGAATAAAAAGGAATAACAAGGTCAATAGAAAGGAATAAGAAGGTCAGTAGAAAGGAATAAGAAGGAATGGGAAGGTGAATAGAAAGGAATAAGAAGGAATAAGAAGGTCAATAGAAAGGAATAACAAGGAATAAGAATTTCAATAGAAATGAATAAGAATCTGAATAAAAAAAAGAATAAGAATGAATAAGAAGGTCAATAAGAAGGAATAAGAAGGAATAAGAAGGTCAATAGAAAGGAATAAGAAGGAATAAGAAGGTTAATAGAAAGGAACAAGAAGGAATAACAATGTCAATAGAAATGAATAAGAATGTGAATAGAAAAGAATAAGAAGGAATAAGAAGGTAAATAGGAAGGAATAAAAAGGAATAAGAAGGTCAATGGAAAGGAATAAGAAGGAATAAGAAGGTGATTAGAAAGGAATAAGAAGGAATAAGAAGGTCAATAGAAAGGAATAAGAAGGAATAAGAAGGTCAATAGAAAGGAATACGAAGGAATAAGAAGGTCAATAGAAAGGAATAAGAAGGTCAGTAGAAAGGAATAGGAAAAAATAAGAAGGTGAATAGAAAGGAATAAAAAGGAATAAGAAGGTCAATAGAAAGGAATAAGAAGGAATAAGAAGGTCACTGGAAAGGAATAAGAAGGAATAAGAAGGTCAATAGAAAGGAATAAGAAGGAATAAGAAGGTGATTAGAAAGGAATAAGAAGGAATAAGAAGGTCAATAGTAATAGTAGTAGTAGTAATAGTAGTAATAGTAGTAGTAGTAATATTAGCAATAGTAGTAGCTGTAATAATAGTAATAGTAGTAGTAGTAATAGTAGTAGTAGTAATAGTAGTAGTAGTAGTAGTAATAGCAGTAGTAGTAATAGTAGTAATAGTAGTAGTAGTAATAGTACTAGTAGTAGTAATAGTAGTAATAGTAGTAGTAGTAGTAGTAGTAGTAATAGTAGTAATAGTAGTAGTAGTAATAATAGTAATAGTAATAATAGTAGTAATGATAGTAATAGTAGTAGTAGTTATAGTAGTAATAGTAGTAGTAGTAATAGTAGTAATAGTAGTCCTAGTAATAATAGTCCTAGTAATAGTAGTAATAATAGTAGTAGTAGTAATAGCAGTAGTAGTAGTAATAGCAGTAATAGTAGTAGTAGTAGTAGTAATAGCAGTAATAGTAGTAGTAGTAATAGTAGTAATAGTAGTAGTAGTAATAGTAGTAGTAGTAGTAATAGTAGTAATAGTAGTAGTAGTAGTAATGATAGTAATAGTAGTAGTAGTTATAGTAGTAATAGTAGTAGTAGTAATAGTAGTAATAGTAGTCCTAGTAATAATAGTCATAGTAGTAGTAGTAGTAATAGCAGTAATAGTAATAATAGTAATAGTAATAGCAGTAATAGTAGTAGTAGTAGTAGTAGTAATAGTAGTAATAGTAGTAGTAGTAGTAGTAATAATAGTAATAGTAGTAGTAGTAGTAGTAATAGCAGTAATAGTAGTAGTAGTAGTAGTAATAATAATAGTAATAGTAGTAGTAGTAATAATAGTAGTAATAATAGTAGTAGTAGTAGTAATAATAATAGTAATAGTAGTAGTAGTAGTAATAATAGTAATAGTAGTAGTAGTAGTAATAATAGATAGTAATAGTAGTAGTAGTAGTAGTAGAAGCCTTGTCGGGATAGTCTTCACTGAAACTTGTCGGTGTAACAAGATTCTTTGTCGTTGTAACAATGACCTTTGTCGTTGTAACAGGTTCTTTGTCGTGGTTACGACCCTCTCTAGTAGGGCCGGGTTCATGATGCATCTGCCCTGCAAAGGGGATTCTTCTAATCGATGTTTGCGCGGCGTTCTGGGAGCTTTGCGCCTGAACCTCCTTCTTGATGAGCGAAACGATCATGCTCCGGCCTCGGCGCTCGGCTTTGCCACGTGCCTTTCTGTCTGCAACACCAACAACAAAGCAGCCTGCCTGATTATCCTTCCTTTTTTGCTTTCCATCAAACTGCCCGTGTGTTTTCACTATTACCTGGGACCAGTATTGCCTACAAGTCTTCACCTTGCAAGATCCCCATACAGGACACCGCGACCGAGGGGGAAAAAGGCAGCGCACAGTGTTCAGTGCGCCTGCTGTCTGGGATGTTGGATCCGAGTGGCGGCAAAAGCCCCTAAGCGGTTGATGATCAGTCCTTCTGTCAGCATAGGGGGAAGGGGGGTGGAGTAATTATCTGCCCGTCTTTCTGGCTCTCAGTAGGGAATCAAGCGCGTTTGGGGGAAAGGGATTGTGGGATGGTTAATGGGTCATTCCTTCATGCCAATCGAACCAGCAAGTGGTATTGAATAGAAGAAAACCCAAGACCGAAAGCAAACACCAGGTCCTTTTACAAGGCCGAAGGGTTTGGTCGACCTACGTGTCAGCAGCCCACAGGGACCCGGCAGTCGTCGGAGATGTGCTCAAAGCATCCATACTTCCTGGGCAAAGCGTGGTGATTGGTGTTGTAAACCGGGCAACTGGGCACAATGGTCCCGGCTACATTGCTTGGGCTGTGGAATCTTTGCACGCGATGGCTCTGGTGTTCCATGTTCACCGAATCTCAGCCCTGTCTGAGCGGACCAAGCTGGCCAATACTACACGAGCTTTCGCGCAACCCGAAGCATATCACGTCACATGCAAAACCCTCAGCTTGCCGGCTTCCGGTAAAGAGACCCCTAAAAGCATCCCCTGTGCAAACAAGTTACCTACGACACCATATATTCAAATCAGTACATTCGCCCAAACCAAATCCACAAGAAGAAATCCACAAGATGTGAGATGGTCTTTGAGCAGCTTGCAAAGCTGTCAACTGTGACCGGTCGGTACAGTCTCATTGGTTGTATAACAAGTACTAAAGGGCAAACATCCGCACGGCCTCTTCTGATTTCATCTGATTTCATGATACCACACAGGGTCTTGGCTTGGAGCCTTCCCAAAACAAGGAGTTGCTTGGAGCCTTGAGCCAAAACCCTGATATTTGGTGCCACATCTGGGTGTAGCTCAAAATCAAAGTATTTAAAGAGCTAGGGTTACGCAGCTTTTGGTCTTTCGCTCCATTTGCCAAGGTATGTTGGTACATCTACTTGAGCCACAGCTAATGGAGGTCTTTAGTGCACAGACTTGGGCCGAACTCACCGCTGTCCAGTCGATCGCTTTGCGGGGTCCCCCGCAAGTTCACTTTGCACTCATGCGTGTTCTCGGCCTCGACTCCATGGCGCCGGGTTCACGGGTCCCGGGTAGTGGGGCAGTGGGGCGTGTCTCAAAGTAGGGGAACCATGAAAACGGTGGGCTTTTTGGTTTAAAGGGCACGCGAAAAAAGGTGACTTCACAGAAAGAGACACCCCACATATGTTCACTGTCTCACTTTCCCAGACAATTTCAGAAGCGGTCTCCCTTCAATCAGCTTCTCTCTCTCTATTTGGTGGTTTGGTGGTTAAGGAGGGGTTTCCCATTAAAGCCACCAATCCAAACCACCAACTAAATGTTACCTGATTCAAGAAGTCGCATGGGCAGCAAAAAATTGTTTGTTTCTCAAATAGGACACGCGACAAATCGGGAAGCCCTGGGCTTTGGGGCTTTGGCGGGGTGAATTCCCCCGTTTCGCTCTCGAATGGACCATAGGGAAATCCGGATTGCAACAAACAACTCACATGAGAAGGCATGGCCCAGCCCAAACTTTTGCAAAGCTACCCAAAGCTCCGGACTACTGCCCGGATTTAAAAAAAAAAAAAAAAAAAAAAAAAAAACATAAATTGTATTTCATATATATATATATATATACATATGACTAGAGATGCAGCCCCCCAACCCTATGCTCCAAAGTTATATATATATATATATATGTTATACACCCTCAGAAGGCCCCTCCGACCTCCTCAGGCAGATCTGGCTATCCGCTTGAACATTCCCCCCTCGCCCGGAACTGTGCGGCTTTCTTCAGTTCTGGTGGACATGGAAATTCATCTTTTCAAGCGAAACCCCTCCATGTTGGTCGGCGTGCAGGTATCTGGGCATGTCAAACCTAGCCGAAATTTCAAAGAAGCAAGCTTGCCACGTGTTTTTGCTTTGGGCACAGGATGTACGGAACCCAAAACCCCAAAACCCCAAAACCGATTTGGTACGTCCACCGAGGGACCCAGAAAACGCTTCGGCTCGGCCACCAAAGGGGCCCCGGCCATCTGCTTTTGAGTGGGCGCCAGGAATGGCGTGGACCTGCAAGCCGCGAGCCGGTCGTGTGGACAAGGCACGCCGAAAAAGTGACGACGAGATAAGATTGACGCGTGCATATGGGTCAAAATTAAAGCACCAGGGCAGCGCAGAATTGAGTCCTTGGTTCCATTTACCAAGGTTCCCAAAATGGGAACCTATTTTTGACCCACAGCCATATCAATGAGTGGCGCAACATCTACGACTCCCCTATGTTGTAACTCCCCAACTTTAGTCTAATCATTTAGGCCCGAGAATGTGAATTACCTGATTCGTGAAGGGCGCCGGAATGGAGAGGGGCGTTGTCCTTTCTTGGTTTATTCTGCGACTGATTCCCTCGAGAGTTGGATCCTTTGTGCCAAGGCTTCAAGCCGTCGAGAATTTCACACTGCCCCAAAATCGGAGGTACCTGGACCCTCAAACTACCCATAAAGGAGTTCACCTCGCAAGATTGAAGCAACTGATTTCTAAGGGTATTTTGAGGGTCCAGCCCTCTTTTGGCTGGACAAGGAGCGCTTCCACGCTTAGGGGCCCGCCCTTTAACCGAGAAGAAACCTGGGCGTTCCGGAAGCACCTCTCAGAGAGCATTTCAACCCTACCCCAAACGAAACTGCCCCCGCGAAACAAAACAGGAGTAAAGTGTTGCTCTCTGTCAAACGCTTAATCCCTCCTGGGTTCCAGGAAGTCCTCTTCTTTCCGAATCGTTTCAGCTTGGAGACATGAGAACTTGTCTGAAACACGTGTTCTCCCTTAAAACCTTCCCAAAAAGGGTCAAATGACCACGTGGTGGGAAAAAGGGGCCACCCTGTGTCGGCAATGATGAGTTGATTTGAAAGAGGAACCCGCTCTTGAAAAGTTGCAAGGGGTGCTTTCACCGGGGTCTGGGAACCACATGACCAAACTTGTCAACCAGCCCTTCGGCCACGGAATTTTGGCCTCAAGACCCAAGACGTCGAGGCAGCCCACCAAGGGTACTACTATCCAACTGAACGATTTGCCATCGGTTCGATAGGCAGGGAATTAGAAATGGAATGACCCCAAGATAAACAATCGCCTGTGGTGTCCTTGCAGGGAATCCCCTTGCGATTCATACCCCAAACCCGGAAGGTCATTTCCAACTGAGCACCTGCAAGAAAAATGATGGGAAGCGCCTTGAAAAAGTAGCAACCAAACAAGAAGCAAAGACCAGACCCTCGCGCCCCTTAAACACCCTTTGGCAAACCAGCCCGTTGAGAAAAACAAAACAGCTGACAGGGATGGGAAACACTGGCGCGTGAAAGACCTGATTTCATGGGACACCAACAGCAAAACCGAAGCCATGTTTGGCTGGTCGCCATAACTGTGACACTCTCAAAATAGGGCCACCAGCCAAGAATGGCTTCGGGTTTCCTGTTGGCGTCCAATTGTTCACGACCCAAGAAAAAAATGGGGCACTGCCGAAGCGCTTGGAGAGCATGAAGTACAGCACGACCCCAGCGCCGAAGGCATCACCCTCGAAGGACGTGGCCTCGCCTAAGGAAGGGGGGGGGGGGGAGGGGGGGCTGGCGGCACCTGGTGCGGCCTCTATCTAAAATCCGAGGACCAAAAGGAACAAAAGGACCAAAAGTGACGAACTCAACTTGACAGGAACAGTCAAGTCGATGATCTGCAAACTGCAAACCATCCCATTGCGAGGGTTGTCCGCGTTCCGCCTGGGGGCTGAAAAACGTGTCCGTGGCTCCCCAAGCCGTCAAACCCAAACAAAAGGACGCCCGCTCAAGCTCACGGGAAGCGCTCCAGAGTGCCCTCCGTTCAAACGGCGCCATGTCTGGGTTCAACACGAGCGATTCGTGAAAACAGGTGGTTGCCAAAGAAACACGGGAGAAGTAGTAAGCATGGTCCCGAAGGTCACCTGCATGTCCCCATGGACCGAAGTCAGGAGTTGCGGAACCAACGAGTGCAACTGGGCTGGGATGCTCGTTTTAGCTTTACTTTGAGGCTTGCCAAAACGAAACAAAAAGCAAAAAACTAAACATGCCAAGGACAGTCAAGTTGATGTTACAAGTACAAGCCATGGGTTCTATCCACGCGCCCCCTAAAGAGGTCTCCCTGCCTTTGAGCATTTCTGGCGCAGCGTAGCCCACCGTGCCAGACGATCTCCGCATCTCTTCCTGGCAAAGCCCAGCTGGATCTTCGCGGCTCCCGTATGGCTGGCTGTCAGGTCTCCGATTCAAAAGCTTCACCACAAATCCCTGGACCATATCCTTAAGGTCAATCCCAAATAAGAGGGAATGAGGAAAACAAAAATAAGTTCCAAGGCAAACATATCATCATATTTCTGTTTTGGGGCCTGAGGGGCCCGACTGCCCAGTGGCAAAAGATGTTTTTGTGGGGCCCGCAATTCAACAGCGTCTCAGCGTGTACATCTTTAACGCATGATCCTTTGCCGGGAAATCGTGTAACTGGTTGGATTGATTTGTTCATCACAAATGTCCCAGACATGTCTCAAACCCATGGTCAGTGGTGGAAGTCTGTCGGCAAGGCAAATCTTGGGCCGCCTGGTTGGTGACCAACGTGGCGATGCCGAAATCCGTGAGCACCAAGTATTTGCCGCTGTTGGCCTTGGATTCAAGCGCAACATGGTGGATGACGTCGGCTGGATGGCGTCTGCTGGCTTTGCGTTGGAATGACCCCTACTGGCTGGACAAACACCAGGCCGGGCACCGGCTTGGATGAAACCCTATGAACATTCATTGATAAACACCTACCAACAGGTGCAACTCGCGGATTTTGTCCATGCAGGAGGTTTCTTTGGGGGGATCCCAAGTATTGCGTGCCCTAAGAACAAGCAAGTCAGTCACCGGAAATGGGCAGGGAGCAGGCCCCCATAAACCTCACAAGGGAATAAGGGGTTAACAACCCTGGCAAATAAATTAGTCCCCCAAAGTAGGACTTACCCTCATAACACAATTGGGGGACTGATTAACCAGGGTTCATAACCGCATACTAAGTAGGACATTAGAAACCCGGGGAGATTTCTACTTGGCCCTTGTGGGAAACCCGTTGGGCCGTCCCGTGGAAAGGAGCACACATGGTTGCCTTTCTTCGGAGGAGCCAAAAAAAGAGAGGTTCAAATGGCCGCCGATCTGATCCCATCCATGGACATTGGATCCTGCACCTGGGGATGAAACCTTGCGAATGCCAGCTGCAGGAATTTGTCCTTGCACAGTATGTCTTTGTCGCTTTTAAGGGGATCGGCCAGCTACAGAAAGTGGCCCAAAGGTCCGATGTTGCACGACACAAATGAATTCCGCTATCCCGAAACTCCTACGCCCATGCGGACAAGGGGCTACACGCTCTTATAGTGGCTATGTAGCAGTTGTATACGCCTTTTCTGTTTTGGGGGTCTGCTTGTTTGGGAGTGACCGCTCAATTGCTCCAATGTTTCTTGAGCTGCGTAAAGTTGAAACTGGATTGAAGAACCTCGCTTTCTTGTTGACTTGCCAGTACTGTTCCACGAGCATGGAGGTGCAAGAGGACACTCGTCCTGGTCTTCCGAGTCTGTTTGCCTTCATGTTTGTGTACAGAGTATCAACGTAGCCAGTCAGCATGTTGGACTACTGGAACATGATCACTCAAGCGTTGTGATCGCAAAAGCTGCTGTGGATGGACGAAATCGTGCACCACCAAAGAATGCATGGAATGATGATTCCCCTGTACATACCAACAAAGAATGGCTTCCCATGGTTTCAAGGTGGTGCGGAACTTTGTCCATCCACAGTAGCTCTGCTAGCATTGAGTTCTCCTTGCTTTTGCAATTTGGGCTTGTTCAATCTTGGGGGTCTCAGTTAAACGTCAGAATGCTGCCCTCAAAGAATAGCACACTACTCAAGGGAGATGAGCTGGCATACTGATACACAAAATCATGCAATGTCATCGCCCCTGTATGCGTGGAGCACAACCGGGCTGCCTGTATACGTTTTTCCAAGCCATCTTGTGGATGTCTCTTCCAAACGAGTCACATCATCCGTGCACCCAAATCCAGGGTGTCTTGCAAACATACCCAAAGCTGTCAGCTCCATATACCCTCTATTGACGGCCATGTTCACGTTCGTCGCGTGGAAGATGTGGGAATCCCTAACTGAAAACATGCGACAACAGCGTCACTCTTTCAATTAGAGTGCTCAAGCCCTGAATCCATCTCTTCGCTTTTTGCAACAACTCCAAAACCTGAACTGAGGAATTCCAAACCAAGCGCCATCTGGTGTTACACCCCATCCATGAGCTCACCAAGAAAGTAGGCAGAACCCATGTCCCACGCTGTCAACTCCCGTCAAAAGCCCAGTGGACATGACTAAAAAAGAAAAAAAAAAAAAACGGAAGAGAAACACAAAAGAAGAAAAAAGAAAGTGCACCCTGTTAAGGGGAACTCACCCTGAACGGGCCAGAACACTGCTGTTTGCAACCACCAAAAGTAAAGTGGAAATACCCCGCATCTGTGAGCTCCTGATAAAATAGCTGGAAGGGAACTCTCTCCAAATGGAGAAGGAAATAAATCAACTGGTACAGGAATCCTTCCACACAAAAGTTGTCCATTTGGAGACCCCTGGCCTTCGCAAAAATAGAAAAAGAGCAAAGCATGCGCTCCGCACCTGCGCCGATCGAACTCCTTTTTCTGGTCGAATTCGGATCTGGGCGGACGGATCGATGCGGATTAACAGAAAGCGAGAGGGAGAGAGAGAGAGAGTGAGAACCCTTGTCTCGCTGCTTAAGAGAAACCCACTTTGCAAAATGCCGCTGGGCAACCAGGATGATTGGAAGGCCATCATATGCAACGAGAGGTCGCCTCTTTGTTTGGGGGGGAGGTAGGTCATCCAGCAGTGTCGATGCCGCATATCCGCTGCCCTCTAAAGCGGAACCTGCCGGGAGCTGCGGGAGCCTGGCTGACAACCCAGCCCCTCTTGCTTGGCAAAGGAGTAATTCAGGTGTCTCCGCAAAAGGCGCCTCTTTGTTTACGGATAATCAAGGAGGACCGGCTTCTACTTGGAATATCTGCAATTCATGTCCAGCGAATTGAAACACCCTGGAATCTGGCGAGGTCCATGAATCCGAATAAAACCTCCCGCAGACTCAGCTCAATCTGATCAAGTATGCCTGGCCTTCTGGGAAAGAAGCGTGGGTCAAGGTTACCAAACAATCCCAACAAAACGCAAAGCATGGACTTCCAAGCCCTTTGTTCAATGATCAAAACAAGACCGCTCTTTATGAGCATGTCGCAGAATGCAAATGACCTAGTTCTGCTGTTCTCCTTCTCCCACCCAGGGGAGGGAACACCGCTTAGCCGGACCCGTGAGACAAACTGAAAAGGTCTGCTGAGGTTGGTCAGTCTGTGAAATGTTTGAAATGGAACTTGTCCCTCAGTCAACACAAAGTGTTCAGCCTCCCGCAACCCCTCTCCCGCGGCATCCGCGGAGAGGCCCCGAGGGGAAAAGTCTTTGCAACTGCTAAGGTCGAACCTCAGCGGTCTTTCAAAAGCCTGTGGTGGCAACGGATGTGCCTCCAAAATCGAACCTGGTGTTCTGTGCACGCGAAGCGAAAACGCTCCCACCTGGAAACCTCCTTGGGCCCCACGCAGGAAGCACTGCTTCGGATGGGCTGATTAACCTTCAAACGTTGCGTTTCCCAGTAGCTTCATTGTCCCATATGGGACTTGGTGCACTCCTTGGGGCAAGCCTCCACGAGCAACAAAACAACCCTTGATATGCAAGATAAGCAAATTGTCCACTTGTGATTGCTCCAAGCAAGCATTTGGTCTCAGCCCTTCGAAGATGTCATGCAGTCATTTGCCACTCAGAACCTGAGGCCAGGCCAGCTGTATGATTGACGCAGGCTAACTCACAAAGGGCATGTCCAAAAGCAAGGGGTGTGTTCTTGTGGCTTCCCGGTTCGCACTCTTCAAAAAGGGGACGCCGATTTGTGGAGGCCCATCTCCTTAATTACTTGAATGGCCACGAGAACAAGAAGTTGCCCCTTTGCTTGGTTGACAAGAACGAGAACCAAGCAACATAAAGCACAACTGACTCCGAGCCCAGCTCGTTGCCCCGCATCTTCCGGGAAAACCCCTCACACTGAGCACCATTTTCAGGGGATGGGTCCCTTGTCATGCCGAAATCGGCCATCCGTCTGACTACCTTGTGACTTTTGAAAAGCGCTCCTCGAATAGACATCCGCAGGGGCCAACGCAAAAGCCGACGAACTCCTAGGTAATAACCATGGATTCCGACCCTAGCCAAAATCGGGAGTTTCAACTAAGCACGCGGCCAAAAACCGCCATTCCCGCTTTGTGGGGAGGCAAAGGGGGCTGTCAAGCAAGCATGTTTTCGTTTATGAGTACCCCTGCTATTGTTGAGCTGTTACCTCGGTTCCAAGAAACGCCTCTCCAAACAGCGCTGCCTGATCAATCAACTCACCTGCAAACTCCGTGAAGATCATAAATGGTCTGATGTGGTCTGCACAGGCCGCATCGTGCGGCTGGCTCTTCCAACGGTTTTGTTGTTGCTTTGTGTGTTGTGTATGTGTTGTTCTTTGTTTGTTTGTTTCTGTCATGTTACTAAAGTTACACTCCTTGTGCCAATTTGGTGCCCGCGCCATCACATTAAAGCATCTGCTTTGGTTGGCATCACAGGTGTGATGTGGATTGGATTATCATGACGCTGAATGCCAGGTGTGGCAGAACGCGCAGGTGAGCCTCACATAGTGGGTGGCACTTACATCGATTAGCCTCCAGGCATGCCGGCTTCAGCGAGGTCTCGCAAAGTTGGCCCTATGTCCATCAGCACGCAAGACATTGAGTTTAAAGTATTCAGCAGGTTGAGACAAGGCCGGGCCAACCGCTCTGACTTGAAAGACTGGGGCATCACGTGGACCAAACTTGAGTGCCTGAACTGGATGTGGCGGGAGGGCCTAGCAACGTCCGCTTGGATTCTTCGCCGAATGTTTTGCGGATCGGAAGAAAAAAACGGGCCCGCACAAGATGCTGATGTAACAAACGAGCGATCGCAACTCGCCTCCCCTCCCACATCCAACCCCCCCCCCGGCCTTAGAGCCAGACTCGTCGCACTGAGCGACCGGGTCCAGCGGTTGGAACGGTGCGACACTTTGATTTGGCCGCAGCTTCGGTTTGGCTTCCGATTCAAATCTCAGCGGTGAACTGTTGCGCTCTTCAGCACCTTGCCGTCGTAGTTGATGGACTCGATGAAGATCTTGTCCTGCGTTCAGAGGGGAGTGCTGACTCTACTCGAAAGAGCGGCCCTCCCCAGCCCAAAAGAGTGCCGACTGGCTCTCCATGACCTTGGCCAAGGGGCCAGGGAGTACCGAACCAAAAGGTACTTTGGTGGATGAAAAGGTGCCATGATCGTAAGGGTTTTGGCGAGATGTCAGTGACAACTTCTCTAAAAGCCATTTGGAGGAGGTATCACCAAGCCTATCCCGAAGCCCCGGGAAAGCGTGAGCTGGACCAATTCGAGCTGGACACTCTCCAATTTACTCAAATCACCAAGGAGCTGCAGCCCGCAGGCCAACTCACCATCCCCTGTCTGTCCCTGTCTGTCTCCTGTCTGTC